AGACTAAAAAATCTTAAGGTACAATAAGGCTGTGCATTTCATAATACTAGTTCAGGAAAAAAAACTGTTGCTGTAACCCGTACTTGCTTTATTTCGTACCATTATGTAATCCAAAATTATAAAAATTGGAGGTTAATTCAACACTATAAAGTAGAAAGGAAAAATACTCTTTTTTCGAGTGTAAGGAAAATGAAAGAGTGCAGAAACATTAAGCAAATGAGTGGATAAGCAAACCGAAGAAAGAGCATGTGAAAATGGACATGGCAGGTGAGGAATTGGAAATCTGGGGGGATGAATTTCAGGAGAGGAAGGAAAAATTGAAGTCTGCAAAAGAATGGAGAGCTTTAAAAATGAAATTTGTCAATCAATGTCGATCAACAGAAGGTGTGATCCTAGTTTAAGGTTAATCTTGGCTTCTTATGGCTTTCCTAGGAGCTGGAACCCCTGTGAAAAAGCACAGAAATTAAGTAATCAATAAGTCAAGAGACATCATAAATGCCTTCCGTATTTAGTGTATACGGAATAGTGTAAGGAATAACTAACGTTTTTATCTCTGTATACTCTTCCATGAACAAGACTAAGCAATTCAAAGAATTGAGCAAAAATCACCATATTTTATTCGTTTTACCAAGCTTGTTCTTCACACTATATTTTCCACATTAAGTTTCTGTTTGGAAATTGGAGAAAAAAAAATGGTTAATTTTAAAGTACCCACAGACTGTCCATGGCATTTCTATCTGCATAGTTTTCTATTTTCTATAGTTTGTCACCAGATAAACATTCAGAACACCAAGGACTTCATTTTGAAGTGATTTTGTTTAGGCTTTGAGAGTTATATCAGAATTTTTTCTTCTGTGATTTCAGTTTTGTCTCGTGACAGCTTTCCTCTTCAGAGTCAATATTAAACACTGCAAAACTAAGAACCAATATTCATAGCTACAGCCAATTGCTGAAGGTTTTTCAAACTTTTAGTTCCAAAAAAATCTGTGACATTAAGTAATAAAGCAGATCTTTAGGCAGCAAACTTTTATTTTATCTAATACAGGATCCATAAAAGCATAACCAAGTTGTAATACATTTGCATAAAATAAATCAAAATGTGCTAAAAATAAAGAACAGGTGTTTCAGGAAACTGTGTGAAGTAAAAGATAGAAGACAAGCATGTGTGGCAGTAGGTACGCTAATATTGTTATTGGCAAAAATGACTTTCTGTACACCATATTTATGCAGTATACTTTAATGTGTCTTCCACTACTACAGTGTTTTTTTTACAATTATATGAAGGCATGTGATTTTTTTAAAACACTATTATACAAAAGCAGTGAAAAAAACAACAACCTATATCTATAAATTCAATTTTCCAAGAGAAGTTCCAAAGAAATTATATGTTATAAAAAAGCATTTAAACATTTGGTAAAATACTGTCAAACAGCAGAGATGAATGCTTGAACTGAGCAAAATAAACAATTGTAAAAAATGCTCGGTCCTTGATAATGAAACAATTTAACTATTTTGCAAATACTGCGGATCACAAATAAAAATCAATCGGGTGCTGTTGGTTCTGAACTTGAGAAGGCATGCAACAAATACTGTATGTGGTGGTGCTTCACCTACTACACAATAATTAATTCAGCTATCAATTTTGCATTTCTACATATGCATAACCAGATGAAGAGCTTTACAGTGGTGGATAATGTAAGGTCATTTTTCAAATGATGTCTACCATTTACTTCATCATAAATTACAAATATGATAAATCAAGTTTTATTAACCAAGTGAATAACTTTGCATTGACAAACCTCCATCTTTTAAAGACAATGCAGCATTTTAGTTTCTAAACCAGGAATTCCATAACAGTTTCAATTATAAACAAAAGGTTTCCATAAGAGTGATTATAATAAAGTATAGTCTATGATTGGCTGTTAGGGAATTACTTTTACTTTTAGGTTCACTGGTCCATATAGACTATAATGGAGATTAATATGCTACATTTAGTGGGACACACTACAGCAATGAAGTGACACAGGATCTGCATTGTGTATCTGCAATTTGAGTAAACTATCATTTTACAGTGTGAACCTCCATATCTGACAGCTTTTTGAGAAAGGTAAACACATTGCTAAAAATGTACTGTATATATATATTTCAAGACCTAAGTCATGTCAAAAACTAGTGAAAGTCCCTGCTTCAGATACTGGGGGCAATTGCTCTTGTTGGAAACTCTGTATCTTTAAGAAAAGGTGTTTTAATGTCTCTCAGAATAAATTCATATTAACAACACCTGAAGTAAAGAATCCTACCCCTTTGCCATTGCAATAGTTAAAACATTTCAAAGGAAAATTGGTTTGCCCTTTCTGCTTAATTTTAAAATAACAAGTAAAACTATTTTTAAAAAGAAACATTTATTTAGTTCCTTTCAATACATATCCAATTCTTTATTCATAAAATACAAAATCATAAGCTGCTAAAAATGCCTGAAGCTAATCGCTATGAAAATGCCAAACCGATTTCTATTAGCACCAAAGAAAGTAAATGTCATTTGACTGCCAGGTAACAGTTTGGTGAAGGTAGCTACACAGACAATAAAGCTTCACAACAAAGTAAAATTTACAATATATAATGCATCAAAGAAACCAGGAATCATTCTTAGACAAAAAAAGGCAAAGGAGATCAATCAATACAAGTCTAAAGCAAGACCAACACATTTTTTCAACCTGAGTTTTCAGGGCAAAAGAAAGTGGTCAGCTCAGATGGCAAACAATATAAAACATTAGCATGCCCGCTATCGTTATTACTGGGAAGCAAAGGTCTTAATTACAAAATGTTACAAAAACTGGACATTGGTACAGTGGAATTACATATTATTGCCATATGAGTCCATTTTAGATCTTAATGGCAGTAGTTCACTCATAAGAATATTGCATAATGCCTGTAGCCAAATGGGAAGATGGTTGTGAAATTGAGGATCTCTCTCTTCTTGGGGTAAGAAAACATTTCACAATAGAGGCCATGCTAACCAAAAAAGCACAAGCAGATAATATAACCCCATCAAGAAATCTTCCAATGGGAAAGTGATTAATTTTTCAATATGAAAAGGACCCCACATGCACAGCAAATATAGATACTGTATATAGGTACCTTTCAAACAAAACTTCATAAAAATATTACACCAGCATCTTGAAAATAAAAACCTGATAAAAAAAAGCATTCCATTACTTGATAACTACAATGTCTGCACAATACTGTATATACATCAGGGGTACAACTGCTCTGAGTTTCTCAAACTGGAAAAAAATCGTTTTGAAAAAAATCCTGGAATTAAATCTGCAATGACCTCAGATCAAGGACAGAATATTTGGATTTGCAGAAAAGATGTTGTCATTCTGTTCTTAATTGTTTTTGACAGTTACTCCTATGCCATAATCTTCCATCCCTACTTTGCTAACATACCTAAAGAAAAACAGACTCTCCTAATTCATCCGACACATTGGAAATCTAAGTGGCCAGGTACTGTCCACAGTAGTCATTTACAGACATAATATTATGACTGCATTTAAAATCAAATTATCTGAAGCCACAGGGTTATGCTGGTGTTTGCTGGCACTCTTTGCATGTATGTAAAGACAAAGGAACAAAAGAGCTTTTGCGCCAGTGCAAAGCAAAAACCTCATAAGATGTATCTGTCAATGCTACAGCATAATAATGAATTGTGTTGCGTTGTTTGCTTTAAGCATACAAGAACCATCAAAGAATTTTATCTCCATGTATTATACTGAATAATTACATTCTAAATAATTTTATGTAGAATGTCTTGAAAAGCAAAAACACTTGACCCATCAAATCCATTAACCACCCTTAATGTACAAGAAATGTCACAGGTCTTTAAACATCTGTGCACCGTGACCACTAAATATACCGACAATCCACACATTATTTATAATGCTGCAGTATTTATGTACTATTTTAAAAACTGAAGAAAGGAGACTACAGATATATTGGGCCAAAATACAGAACAGGGCACCGAGAACTTAACACTGACATCTGGGATTCATTCAGGTATGGTCTTTAAACACAAACCGGGGTAGACAAGTATATAAGTCAAATTTCTATTGGTATCAGCAAAATCATTATTTTTCCTTTCCTTCCGCCTGAAGTACAGTAGTTACATACCTCCTGAAATTTCCTGAAGCTATGAAGTAATGCTTTACCCTCAATTCAATGCAAATTCATAGTACAGCACCAGTGACACACAAGTCCACAAAATACCCAATATAAGATTATGTAAAAGTCTGTACAATGACTGTGCTGAAAGTAAATGGAAAATATTCAATGTAATAGCCTCAAATATGTAATATTTAAGATGCACACTAAAAACCCTAGATGACGTTTTTCATATAGCTTCAGCTGCACTAACAGACACTAATTCAAGCCAAGTCCACATTTAGAAGACTTAAGAGCCTAAAAACACTAGGACCAGGATTTCTGTGCAAAGTCTACACACAGCCAGAGTGTGCGTTGAAAGCATGAGAAAGGAAAATGTCAGACAAGGAGGTGGGTATGTGAAATATTCAATGCAAAGATTTTCATTTTGATCCACAGCATGAGGAGGCCCTTCTACTTTAACTATTGTTCAGTAACTTAAGTTGACCTCGGTTTACCTGGCTACAGTCTTCTTAATAAAAAAAAGGCTAAGAGACTTCTTACATTACAATATATGGGATTTAAAACCGAACAATCACACACGTTTATATACATTCCATGCAGACTGTGCACATTGCAGCGAAAACACAACATATACACAAGACTTTCTCCCTGGAGAAAGTTTCACATTGATGCCAAGATCAGGACGAGGACTTTTCATGAGTAGGAAGGAGTTCGTGACTTAATGCACAGCTATCAGATTTATTTTTCCTGTAACAGAGCAGGGATGTTGATGTTCCATCCAATTGCCTGGCGATCAAACCCACAGGTGAAGAGATTGCATGTTGGATTGTCCTCACTCCAGGCTGTGCAGCACACCATGCGTCGATGCCCCTTTAAGTAAAACAACAGACAATTCAGTAGTGTCTGTGCCACGCGTAGCTGAAAAATAACAATACATAACTCCAAACAAAAACACATCTTCTCCTACTTTAAGTGTATACGGCATCGGTATATTCCCCACACATGCTAGAATTTTTTTTTCCCCACAGAACCTGAAGGATGAGTAATGAGTAAGGCCATTCAGGATAATACACCAAAACCAACATTTCAGTTTTAACAACACATAAAAACAATGAAATTCAAAAGAACAGAGGTATTGATTTAGGGCAGAAAATACTAGTGAATATGTTTTTCCACAAAGCCTTACAGATGTCTAAAATGGGCTTTTCAATCAAGCAGTTAAGGCCAAAACGTTAAGAAATGGCTGGACAAAGGTTTAGATTCATTTAAACCTTGCAATCACCTCATATCACCCTGCAACTCACAACTGGCAACCCACTGAAGCTAAGCAGGTGTGAGCCTGGTCAGTACCTGGATGGAGACCTCCTGGGAAAAAACTAAGGTTGCTGCTGGAAGAGGTGTTAGTGGGGCCAGCAGGGGGCGCTCACCCTGTGGTCCATGTGGGTCCTAATGCCCCAGTATAGTGACCGGGACACTATACTGTAAACAGGTGCCGTCCTTCGGATGAGACGTAAAACCGAGGTCCTGACTCTCTGTGATCATTAAAAATCCCAGGGCGCTTCTCGAAAAGAGTAGGGGTGTAACCCCGGTGTCCTGGCCAAATTTCCCCCCTGGCCTTTACCCCATCATGGCCTCCTAATAATCCCCCTCTATGAATTGGCTACATTACTCTGCTCTCCTCCCCACTGATAGCTGATGTGTGGTGAGCGTTCTGGCGCACTATGGCTGCCGTTGCATCATCCAGGTGGATGCTGCACATTGGTGGTGGTGGAGGGGAGTCCCCATTACCTGTAAAGCGCTTTGAGTGGAGTGTCCAGAAAAGCGCTATATAAGTGTAAGCAATTATTATTATTATTTAACCGCTACTCAACCAAATGATTACAATGACCCAAATGGCCTACTCTCCTTTACAACCTTACTTATATAATTTGGTTTCCCCCAGATGCCCCACAACCCTATGCTGAAAAAGACCTGTGTATATTCATTTCTGAATTCAGTTGCTCTTGATTTCTGTTTGTGAAAAACCCAACTGGTATCCCTTCACAATTTATTAGATAATCACTATGGTAGGGTACAGCATCATTGTTCCTGGAGCATTCCACTATTAGTTTTAAACCGTGAGTACAGATCCTGATACCTCTAATGAATAAAATAAGTGGTGCAATTAAGTTCTTCAGAGATTTTGGATCAAAATCCAGAAGGGCCTGTGGCTGTCCAGTACCAGATGTGTGCACCCCCAGCGTATGTGTATAAGAGGGTGAATTGCCTGTGTTTGTCACTTTTCAAGTTTTTCTGCCTGTATCTGCATTCCAATGGGTTGTCTTACCTGTCTGTTACTGCGTGGGAGGCGTGCTAACCGAACTCCTGCAATGTCGAACAAGCGGACTTGCCGATTATCATGTGGAAGAGCAATGATTCTTTGGTTTACGGACACACTAATCCTAGAAAAAAAAAAAAGACATAGATGCATTGACTGAAATCTTTATAAAAAACAGCATTAGTTTAAAAAAAAAAGTAAATGCCAGGGTACTTTGCTTTTGAGAAAATACAAGACTTTCAGTTAATTACTATTTAGGGCATCAGATTTATGCAGTAAATATTGTTTTAGAGCTACAGTTAATTTACATAGTAGCGGGCCTTGTATAAAGGTTTTGTAAAGCACTTTCTTGATGATTGATTACAAAATGTATGATTTCTTCAAATCTAATTTACTATTACAGAAATCTTACAGAGGGCTATAAAAGCTCAAAGAAAAGTAGTAATACCTCAAATGTATGTGACCACCAATACATAACTAACCAACGGTATATTATTCTAGACCAATGATGATGACTGGAATTTTATAATGAGGCACAGCATGTAAATAAAAAAATTTTAGTTATCTTACTAGACCAATCATATCCTTTACCTGTTAACTGCTGAGTCAGTTCTGATAGTAGCTATTGGAGATCTCATGTTCTTCAAGTCCCAGACCTTTACAGTTCGATCATCACTTCCAGATACGACATTGTCCCCTACTGTGAACACTGCAGATGTGACAGTACTGCAATACACCAGAAAACAAGAGCACAGGTCAATTTCCAAAGGCTAGGCAAAGCTATACATCCCCATGCTCCTTCCTTAACTCACTGGACAACTTCTGGAATATATAAAAAAAATAACACCTCCCTTTCTCCTCCATAGGGAAATCCTGTCCTTATAGGAAATTCTTGTAATCCTCTGCTTTGTCTATACATTAAATTTATCACATTTTCCTGCTTCCCAGAAGTTCTCTTAACGAAATGCTTAAATCTTGCCACATATCTTGTCTTGTAATAACAGCCATATGAAACACTTTTTGAAAGAAAAATGTATTGAACCCAGTCTCGGTTGCCTTTCAAATACTTTTCTATTATGTGGTGGCCGAATAAACCTAAGTGGGGCTAAATTATTAGTATTCTGCATGACCATCTGCAAAATAATTAGTATTTAATATTTTTAGTGGTTTTTTTCTTGCCATGTGACGTGATGTGTCCCTTATACTCACTACGAAACATTTTTTTTTAAAAACAGAAAAAAATCTGCTAATTATGAAATGACTACTCCATTTTATTTTTTACGTCAGTAGTTGAGTACATTGTCATTAATCCCTCAAGCAGGTTACAGGAAAAGACGATGACTAAACCTAGACATTAACAATTTGCGCATTTCAGTCCAAGAGTTTATCAACCATTGTATGTGTATATAATTGCATATTTTCTAAAGCTGTTGAATATTGTTTAGATAACCTGTACATTTTGACAGCACACAGATGTGATTAGTGTACAACCACATACTTCTACAATATTTAAAATGCTTGTGGTTAACAATGCCCAAAGAGCAATGAATGTTTTGCTCAAGTTGGATCCACTGAAAAGCACAAATTGGCTTTTAAAGTGGGGTGTGTCACTGTGAAAAAAACACAGAATGCTAAACAAGATGTACAATGCCAAACAATGAAACAAAGATCGGTCACAAACCCCTTTTTATGTCCTTTAATAGGAAAAGCCCATCAAAAGTCAGTATAATAATGTAATATTTAAAAACAGATGTGCAACAGACGATCGGAAGAAATGGCTTCTCTAAAGATGCATAGTAACACTGTAACATAAGGAACAATGGACACTGTTGATGTGTGCTAATTTATCCGATTGAGAAATGTGTTGTTGTCATCACCTGTAGCAAGTTTAAATCACTTTTTAACATTAATGTCATAATGATCCCTTAGCGTTATACCCACAAAGATGAAAAAAAACCTCTTCCAGGAAAAGCACTATATGAGCTGCCATTCAGTGCCGGTCTATAATTTATTCCGCTGATGTGAAATATTTTAAGAAGCAGCAGGACGAACGTTACACCATCGGTGCCTCAGCTTTAAACAGCAGACTGGGATAATGTCATATGAATACGCGAGAGGGCCTGAAAGTCACCACCCTTCAGGGTCAGGGCTCGTGTGAAGTGCAGTCCTCAGCTCATTTCTCTGAAAAGTGATATAGAGAACTTGCAGATCGCTGAGGTCATGCACATTAATTTAATGGAGTTTAATATTTCTAATTTATAATGTCAGTCGTTCCTGTCACTTTTCTGTGCTACTAAAAAAGAATTTGATTTCATGTTCTGTTCTGGCTGCTGATTAAGATTAGCGCCGTCCCAGCCAGAGGGGCCCCACTCACGCTAGCCCTCTTAATTTAAATTGACATTATATTAAGGTTTAATTAGGGCTAAACTCTAACGCATTAACGATGCAGGCATGCTTACTGTACTTCATATTACTGCGAGGCTCACTTGCACAGATTTCAAACTAATGCACGCCACGAAAAGCATTTTTTTGACATTGTAGGTCGTCACTAGGGAACAGAAGGAAAGTTAATAGATTAAAAGCTTGATTAAAATCCTATTATAACTTAGAAGATATTTTTAAATGTACTATTCCCCGGAGCCTGCTGACAAGCAAGGTCAAGACTCATTAGGCGAAGGGAAGAAGGTCACAGAACTGAAATAAAATGAGATCATAAGTGCGACACCATAATACCATAAGCTGACAGGTGCTTCCCACTTATTCCACTTGTCAAAACTGTTTGCTGTAATTGTGTTATATTTTATACATTTCGCTACGTAGCAAGGCAGACTAGGGGTGATTGCTCTTCATATGCCAATTTAGGCAGTTTTGCTTCTAAAAGCCAGACATCACAATGGCATCATGTTTGACTGAGGGATAATGGGATGTACAGCGATTCTTTAAAATAAATTAAATGCTACAGATTTGTCCTGGTAAACTGTCAATTTAAAAACAATAATGGCAATTTCTGGTATCTACAAGCAAGCAGTACAGAAAACCTGAAGCAGCAGAGTAATGATAAATGCTTTTAATGGAGTTCTGTAACCACATAGATGTTGTACCATATCATTTTCTATGCACTTTATACAGTTTTATGCAAACATTTGGGCACCACTGGCCAAATTACATGTTCTGTTGATTTTCTAAGTTAAAAGAATTTAACACAACCTCTGCAGCAGACAAACTTAAACTTGACATGTATCTGCCAATAATAACGCAGTTATTATTTATTTGCTGAATTTCACAGATTGAAAAAAATAAAATTGTAAATGTGGCATGTGCAAAAGTTTCCAGTTTGATCCACCAGTGTTATTTTTTGTAAGGTCTCAGAACTTAGGCTTTAATCTAAGTCAGATGATGACAATTCCAGAGTTTCATAAATTCTCTGACTCTTCGAACCCCTCAGGCTGTTGTGCTTACTCTCAACAACCATGGGCTCCTCTAGCAGCTGACTGAGGATCAGAAAATAAAGATAATCGACTCTTACAAAGCAGGGAAAGGCTATAAAAAGATATCTAAATGCTTCCTGCTTGCAATTTCCACTGTCCGAAATGTCATTAAGAAATGGAAGTTAAGGGAAACTGTTGAAGTCAAGACAAGATCTGGAAAACTAAGAAAAATCTCAGATAGAACTGCTCGTAGACTGGTGAGGAATGCAAAGCAAAACCCCCATATCACTGCAAAGGACCTGCAGGAAGGTTTAGCTGGCACAGGAGTCGTGGTGCACAAACATGATCTGCATGGAAGAATCATCAGAAGGAAACGGTACCTGCGATCTCATCACAAAAGTCAACATCTGAAGTATGCAATAGAGCACTTAGATAAGTGCAGAGGCGTTTTGGAACCAAGTGCTGTGGTCTGATGAAGTAAAAATTGAACTCTCTGGCTACAATCACCAAAGGTACGTTTGGAGAAAAAAAAAGGAGAAGCATTTGAAGAAAAGAACTCCATGCCAACTGTTTAAGCTTGAGGGTGGATCTATTATGCTTTGGGGCTGTGTGGCAGCCAGTGGCAAAGTATATATTGTGCGGGTAGAGGGAAGAATGGATTCTACTATAGTAAGTATCCACAAATCCTCGATGCTAATGTCCTACAGTCAATGAAGGAACTGAAGCTGAAAGGAGGTTAGATATTACAACAAGACAATGATCCAAAACAAACCTCAAAATCAACCATAAACTACTTCAAGAAACGAAAGATTAAGGTTTTGGAATGGCCTTCACAGTCCCCAGACAGAATATTATTGAAAATCTGTGGGTAGATCTCAAACATGCAGTGCATGCAAAACAACATATTTCTGAACCAGAAGCGTTCTGCAAGGAGGAGTGGGGAAAAATTCCTAAAGCAAGAATAGAAAGACTGTTAGCTGGCTACAAGAAACGTTTGGAGGTTGATTTCTGCCAAAGCGGGTGTTACAAAGTACTGACTGATAGGGTGCCCAAACCTTTGCACATGCCACATTTACTGTTTTATTTTTTTCAATCTGTAAAATTCAGCAAATAAATAGTAACTGTGCATTACAATTTGCAGAAATGTGTAAAGTTTAAATTTGCTCGCTGCAAAGGTTGTGTTAACTTCTTTTCACTTAGAATATCAACAAAACATGTAATTTGGCCAGGCGTGCCCAAACGTTTGCGTGTATTCAGATGTGTTCCCATTACCAAGAACATGACATGCAACATATTGAGCTGAAAAAAAAAACTTGAAGGAAATTGTGGATTTCTATGAAATCTACAATTAAAAAAAAAACAATGATATCAACCATTTAGTATTATTAAGCACAAACTTTGTGAATTCGTGATATTATGATGGTCATGATAAAAGGAAGACTTGGTTTTCTGCAGACAGCTTATTTAAAATTTGTTTAACTTAAATACATCTTTCAACATTAACAAATTACATTTTAAGATGCAAACTACATATTCAAACAATTGTGTCTACTATAACAGAAAAAAACAACATTGATCATTGTAATTTACTGCAT